AATCAGAAACACTTCAAATCTCACTAATAACTTCCTCTAAGAAGCTACAAGTCTCAGAAAGAAACAAAGTGATTGTTTATAGAATAAATCTATGCATACTAGGAGGTGAAAATGCATGTTCATTTATGAGCAATTTAACTAATGCAACAGCATCTGTAAGATATCAATCAAGCTACAAAAATAGAATCAAATGTCACTTTGATGTTAAATATCCAAAACAATAAGTTAACATACACACTCCTTCTATGATCTAGACAAGGATTTTACAAACCTGTTCCAGGAGCCAAACCAACATTGCACATCCTGGAAGTCCTTCTTATCTGACCCATATATATCTAGTTTTGGAGTCTCTGCTAACGAGATGATGAGTTGATTCAGGTGTGATTGATTAGGAAGAGTTGGAAAATGTGTTTTCCATAAACATAAACACTGAATGATCTCTACTCTGTTTAATAACATAAAAATGCATTTTGTTTATATCTATGATGTGGTTTCTTGAACATTTAGTTGTTAACCTTTCAAATTATGTTAAAGTGTATTGTTAATCCATGTATGTATTGTAGGCTATGTTGCGGTGTCCTCATACCTGATTTGAAGTAATTTCTATATCAGTGTTTCGTAACTCTGTCCCTCCGTTTGACCCCAAACACCAACACAACACATTTTCCAACTCTTCCTAATCAATCACACCTGAATCAACTCATCATCTCGTTAGAAGAGACTCCAAAACTAGATATATATGGGTCAGATAAGAAGGACTTCCTGGATGTGCAATGTTGGTTTGGCTCCTGGAACAGGTTTGTAAAATCCTTGTCTAGATCATAGAAGGAGTGTGTATGTTGACTTATTGTTTTGGATATTTAACATCAAAGTGACATTTAATTCTATTTTTGTAGCTTGATTGATATCTTACAGATGCTGTTGCATTAGTTAAATTGCTCATAAATGAACATGCATTTTCACCTCCTAGTATGCACAGATTTATTCTATAAACAATCACTTTGTTTCTTTCTGAGACTTGTAGCTTCTTAGAGGAAGTTATTAGTGAGATTTGAAGTGTTTCTGATTGTCTCACTGCTGTCTGTTTGTAGGGATCTCTTGGTTTGAGCTGCTGGGGGTCATGAGGAAAAGCAGTGAGTGACTTTGCATGGAGTATTTTGAGAGGAGCAACCGCTGAACTGTTATACATCTGACCTTTTTCCCGACTCAACCTGTTTCTGTTTTGAACTGGCATGTTTTTGACAATGATCCACTATTTTGTGTTCAATAAAATGGTAAATGTGACATTTGTGTGCTGTTCATGATTTCCAGCTGATCTTGGCTTTCTAAACATCAACACCTGCTGTTACTGAATCAGTCAATTAACTAATTATTCAGATGATATGTGGCCCACGTGGTTTAGTTTGTCTATTAATTTGGACAAGCTGTGACTGATTTGCAATTTAATGATTGCTAAGTTAAAACAGACCAGTTTTCCTCATTAGAAATCCAGTTTATTAATGTATCTGTAGTCTGAATTTTTCAGCATGTGTGGAAATGCCTTTCAAGTGCTGGTCAATTTCCCCAGAGAAAGCAACAGCTGAGATTTCAGGTACAGTCAAGAGTAAAAGGGAGTGGCCAAAAGCCACACCTTAAAGGGGAGTGGCTAAAAGCCACACCCAAAATGTCGACTTAGTCCTTTTTCTGGAAATTTTTATAAGTAATTTTTGAAAATTTTGACTCCTTCCTCATAACCGCTGCTGGATATTGTCTTAGAAGTCCCAGGGGGAGCGGTCTGGATTTTTACTCCCCCCTTCGTGTCCTGATCCGCTCAGCCGTCTGCCTTCTCTCATCCTGGTCATGACCTGATCCGCTCAGTTTCACAGCTTGTCACAGCTCACGACTGGATGTCCTTCACGCAACCGTGCTTCAGAGACCAGACTGGGGTTTGAACCCAGATCCTTCCGACCCCGGGAGGACACGCTCAGACCACTGAGCCACTGGCACTTCCACTCTTATTTATCAATTTTTGGTAATTTTGTCTTTTTTATTTGTTGAAAAACCAATGAAACTAAAGACCTCAAGAGAGAGATTCAAACCTGGGTTACCCACGCCAAGCTCTAACGCTTAGACCACTGAGCCACTGGCACTTCCACTCTTACGTACCAATTTTTGGTAATTTTGTCTTTTTTATTTGTTGAAAAACCAATGAAACTAAAGAGCTCAAGAGAGAGATTTGAACCTGGGTTGCCCACACCAAGATCTAATGCTCAGACCACTGAGCCACTGGCACTTCCACTTTTGCTTATTCATTTTTGGTAATTTTTGGTAATAAAAATGTTTCGCCCTCCTGTGGTGATTTGTGTGAATTACAACGTTGCAAATCGAGTCTAAATAAACGTAAAAATGTTTTGCCCTCCTGTGATGATTTGTGTGAATTACAACGTTGCAAATCGAGTCTAAATAAACGTAAAAATGTTTTGCCCTCCGGAAGTGATTTGTGTGAATTACAACGTTGCAAATCGGGTCTAAATAGACTTAAAAATGTTTTGCCCTGCTGTAGTGATTTGTGTGAATTACACAATTGCAAATCAAATCTTATAAACATAAAAGTGTTATCCTCTCCTGAGATGACTTTAGGCCTTGCAACTTCAGCCTTATTACCACTAATCAGCTTTATCCTCCTGAGAAGATCTTTGCAAACCATATCGTCTAACGAGCTAGTGTAAATGCGCTACACTTCTGTAAGAGGGTGAGAGGAGAAAAACATAAGAACTTCCAAACAGAACTATTTACACTATCTATGTTCCGTTCTGTCTTCTGTTCAAAATTCAAATACATATATTTGCAAATAAAAACACCAAAACAATATAAGTCCAGTGAAAGTAAAAGTGTTTCGCCCTCCTGTTGTGATTTGTGTGAATTACACCGTTGCAAATCGAGTCTAAATAAACTTAAAAAGGTTTTGCCCTCCTGTGGTGATTTGTGTGAATTACAACGTTGCAAATCGAGTCTAAATAAACTTAAAAAGGTTTTGCCCTCCTGTGGTGATTTGTGTGAATTACACCGTTGCAAATCGAGTCTAAATAAACGTAAAAATGTTTTGCCCTCCTGTGGTGATTTGTGTGAATTACACCGTTGCAAATCAAGTCTAAATAGACTTAAAAATGTTTTGCCCTCCTGTGGTGATTTGTGTGAATTACACAATTGCAAGTCAAATCTTATAAACATAAAAGTGTTGTCCTCTCCTGAGGTGACTATAGGCCTTGCAACTTCAGCCTTATTACCACTAATCGGCTTTATCCTCCTGAGAAGATCTTTGAAAACTATATCGTCTAACGAGCTAGTGTAAATGCGCTACACTTCTGTAAGAGGGTGAGAGGAGAAAAACATAAGAACTTCCAAACAGAACTATTTACACTATCTATGTTCCGTTCTGTCTTCTGTTCAAAATTCAAATAGATATATTTGCAAATAAAAAAAAACAAAACAATATAAGTCCAATGAATGTAAAAGTGTTTCGCCCTCCTGTGGTGATTTGTGTGAATTACACCATTGCAACAAGATCCTGCAGATGAGAAGATGACAGCTCTTAATGTCACTTTAACAGCACATATTACAGCTCAACCGCAAATAAAACTGACAGACGCAATCAAACGACACATAAATGAGGGAACCGAGTACGGCACAAGACTCACCTGTAAATAACTTTTACTTTAGCATGAAATCAAGTTCTCTTCTCAGTCGCTATTGTAGCGTTCCCTTTTTAATCTTTGAATGAATCGCCCTCTGATATTCACACTGTAAAGTGTAATAAGAATTGATATTGCAGTGTTTTCTGGGTGTATGTGAGAGTCAGCAGGAGTTGTGTCTTGTGTGAAGCTCTGATGTTCTCCTGTTGCTTCCTGCTTTTATTCTACTTCCTGTTATGACTGGGATCTGAGAGTGAAAACTGCCTTTAAAATGGTATTTAAAGGTGCTGTGTACGGTTTTTAGCGGCCTCTAAACTGGTGGGCGCCAAGTCCCCGAATTCCCAGCGAATTCCCCGCGAATTCTCTGGACTTGGCGCCCCCTCATTAGTGCATAGATATATGCAGCATAGATATAGCACTGTTCTATATCTATGCTGCATATATCTATGCACTACTGAGGGGGGCGCCAAGTCTGGATAATTTGCGCAGAATTCGGGGATTTCGGTGAGAATTCGCGGAGAATTTGGGGACTTGGCGCCCCCAGGTTCCAGTGTCATTAGTGCATAGACATATGCAGCTTAGATATACACAGTGTCGTCTTCAGTGGCTCAGTGGGAGCAATACCGGCTCTGAAACGAGTGGTTGCTGGTTCTGTTCCAACTTCTTGTTGCGTTTAGACTCCGTTTCGAAAGATAAACGTACAAAGAGAACCGCCAGAACCGCCAGAACCGTGTTGTCTTCAGTGGCTCAGTGGTAGGGGCTCTGAAGCGAGTGGTTACAGGTTCAATTCTACCTTCTTCTTGCGTTTAGACGTGCAGTGGTTAAACACATGTTCTGTGAAGGTAAGGATGTGCTGAAGTTAAGGTTCAAATCCCACCTCATCTATTTGTCCACCATAATTTAAATAAAAGTGTTATCAATAGTTGTTATATCAAACAAAGTGGCCAAAACACCAGTTTTCAGTGTGAAAGCCGCAGTGGTGCAGTGGTTAAACATATGTTCTCGGCTGATGGGTTGCACTGGAGACATGGGTTTGATCCCCACCTAATCCCAGGTTTCAGATCCATGTTTGTTAAAGTTATTCATCATTTAACACACAACTCTGGATCAAACTGGTTGAAACCGCTCTTCATCTCAACAGACTCAATGGCTCAGGAGAGAAAGAGTTGTGTTTCAATCACAGCGTTCTGAGTTCAAGTCCCACTATTGCTGATTTTCAATAGTTCTCATTAGACAAGCAGCCCCAAAAACCAGCCGTCAATGTGAAATCCATGATGGGCGAGTGGATAAACACACACTCTCTGAGGACAAGACTGATGAAGATAAGGGTTTGAATCTCACTTTAACTGCTTTATTGGAAACTCTCAGGATAACAGTGAAATATAAGTTCCAGCACATCATCAGCAAGAGATCTGTGGCTCACAGGTAAGAGCGCTGCCTCACGGGTTTAGAGGTTACTGGTTCGAGTCCAGCCAGATCTCCGCGATAGGAGTGGATGTTGTGTGAGTGTCGTGCCCAAAGGAGGGGGATACCAGTACGGTCTCCCCCCGGAGCTTCTGGGACAGTCAGCCACAGGGGTTATGCTTTTTGGAAACGAGGAGAAAAAAAAAAAAAAAAAAGGTTTTTATATAAAAATTTCCCCTTCTTGTCCCTTCCCCACCCGCTTAGGTTCCCATCATTTGCTTTTCAAAGGGGGAGGCCCTTCAAAATGACAATGATGGGAACCTACATGTTTAGCACAGTAAAACAAGCATGTACATTACCTGTCCATCAGGAGACGTCCATCATTGCAGTCAATGTCTGTCCACACGTCCCACAGCTCTGCTTCTGATGTCTGGATATAATGGTCCAAACACATTCCTTCTGTAAAGAAAGACATGAACAAAAAAAAAGATTATTTTTCAAAGATTAAAAAGATAGTTTTAGAAATACTCTATATTCTACATCTATAAATGAGAATGTGAAAGTTAGTCTAAAGACTAGTCAATAGAAGGAAATTGAATACATTAAAAGTATAAAGTTGTACAGTGTGAAAATATATTACTATTATAATATATTATATTATATTATTCTTTTAATTCAATTCAAATTAGGTGTATTTTCTTCAAAATAAACAAGATTAATTGAAAACAAAAATTGTATTGCTTAATGTTACTTTTTTTGTATTTTTTTCTTTATTAATGTTATTCATAATCAGAAATCAGAGTGTGTTTGAATATGTTTGCTGAGGAGAGATTAGGGATGAGCTATAGTTTAGTTTGCATAGAAATATTGTGTGCAATGACACATCAATGTAACACAAAAATAAACAAGAGATCTCTTGACAAAATAACTGGTGTAGCTTCCGTGATTCAACCATAATTGGGACAAGCTTAAGTTTTAAATTACAATAATCCTAAAAGGCTGGTTTCCTGCACACGTTTTAACTCTGAGTCTGTTCTGGACTGTATCTATGATGGTTTTCATTAGAAGTAAAATCACTGCAGCTCTACACAAGCATGAAGCAGCAGAAACATCAGAGCAACTGACTCTATTAACAAACATCAATCCAGTATATTACCTACAGTAAGACTACAATAACAACAACACACACACACACACACACACACACAAAAAAACAGCATTCCTTACTATTCTGATTGTACATGTAAAGCAACACACGATTAAATTGCTCTTCTGAAGGCCTGTGTCAGTGTGTGTTCAGAAAAATAAGAGTTTTTTCTCTTTTTATAGAAGACGCGAATGCTTTCATAAAAAGCTTAAACAACATTTAGTTTACAGACACCATGAAAATTACACTGACGAGCCCTGCTATGATGACAATTCAGCAGAACGATGCATCAGTGAAAAATATAACAAAACATAAAGATATCATTTTACAAAAGAAATCCACTTTATGTCCAACGTTACTTACCGAGAAGTTAAATGACACTCAATTCCCGCATGATATCGGTTTATTTGCTGAAATATGTCCAGTTGTGTGCCTGTCATCTGCACATGTTGTAGCGTCTGTCATCAACAAGCGTCAATGTTGCCAAGGAGCCGAAAGGAGTCGCTCTGACAGTGAAGCCCACTCACGCCGCCTAGTGGAGCGGATGAACACTGCGCTTCGGTTTCTGTCATTCTGCTAAATAAATAAACATAAAAGTGTTTGTGGTGATTTGTGTGAATTACACCATTGCAAATTGGGTCTAATAAACATAAACGTGTTGCGCCCTCCTGTGGTGTGAATTACACAGTTGCAAATCAAATCTAATAAACATAAAAGGAACCACAACACTCAGACCACTGAGCCACAGGAGCTTCTTCGTTTCAGTGTTTCTGTTTGTCTCAAACAATCAAAGTAAAGTATTTTCCACCACAAAAGTGAGATTTGAACCAGGATTTTCAACACAGAAGAGCCACTTTCAGTTGTAACAGTTGGACGTCCTTTTTGAAAATTGGTCTTTTATTTGGACCAAAGCAGTGATATTAAAGATTTTTACTGGATTCTCCACACAAGAGAGCGACACTCACGCCCGTTTCACACATACTCCGTTTGCAGTGCGTATGCGGTCCGTATTTTTTTCCGTACCCATGTTAACAGGTTAGAGCTTTCACACTGCACGCGGATGCAGTCCGTCGATCCGTTCCAGTTGCGGTGCGTATACAGCAGTGCAGAGATCGTTTCCGTACCGAGTCTATTTCTGCTGTGCTGCAAACGCAGAAATAAAGTGACAGCGCTCGGTTCGTGGTCAAAATGAACTCAGATTGACCTCGAAATGTAGTAGTTTCACCATAAATGCATTTAATTCAATAAAATGTAGTAATCTCTCCATAAAGGTATTTAATTGTTTCATATTTTTACTTTAAGACATCTTCATATATGCATGGAATTGTATGCATTCGTTGTTTAAATCGTGTTTAAACGAGCATGCGTCCATTCACGTTTGTAAAAGAGAATCGCAAAGCCATGGCAAAACTTTTATTTTAATAAAAGTTGCTGCATATGGTGAACATATTTTGATTACCAAAAATCAGGACACATGGCCAAGAAAACAAATGATAGTCGAAGTTTACTCAAAGATGCCTTATTAATTTCAATACAATTAAAATAGGCTATGCCTCCTCTCTGGATAGAAAATTGTTATATTAAGACACAAATTCAGATAGCCTAGGCTTCTCAGAGGATACTCAACATGTTTTATTATGACAGGTTGGTTTAAAAAATAATGAATGAAATAATGATTAAAAAATAATGTCTCTTCTGAATTAGAAAAATAAATATATAAATATTAATTAACTAAAAGAAATACCTTCAAATTGAACAAAAATACCTCTCACAAACGTACAGAAACGAACTAGTTTTCTTCCTCTTTATCCTGTTTTTCTTCCTCATCCTCCTTGTTTGCTCATCTCCTATATTTAGCTGTAAAGCTGATCTTTTCCAGCGTTTTTTTTATTTTATTATTATTATTTATTTATTTTTTTTATTTTTTTTTGAAAACCAGGACATCACTTTATAAAAAACGGCCAGGAAGGACGTGAAAACAGGACTGGGATAACAGGACTGTTGGTCACTGGTCACGGTATTGCTGCATAACTTCTGATTTTGAAATTAAAATAGCCAGTGTTTGTGGTACAGCTCACGCACTGCAAACGCAGCATATGTGAAAGCACTTTAGCGCGTGCGGCTCCTGTACCGGATACGCACCGCAACACTCACCGCATACGCACTGCAAACGGAGTATGTGTGAAACGGGCGTCACACCACTGAGCCACTGGACCTTCGACACTCACACTTCTTTTTTTGGGGGGGCATGTCTTTTTTTTTCTTTTCAACAAATCCGACGAAACTAAAGCAAAGCATCATAAGAGCGAAGCTCAAACCCGGGTTTCCCACATGGAACCACAACGCTCACACCACTAAGCCACAGGACCGTCTACGCTCATGCACTTCTTTTATTGTGAGCATGTCTTCTTTTCTCTCGGACAAACCCGACAAAACCAAAGAAGCATAAGAGCGAGGCTCAAATCATTTTGGAGAGAAAAACTTCACATTTTTATTAGATAATCCACTGCACCTCCACACTATTCAGCCGTCCTCCTCCTCCTGGATAAGCCACATCTCCTCCTCATTTCTCCAGCCACTCATTTTTTGGAGATCTGACCAGGATTTGAACAGATCTCTTATCCTTCACTTGCTGGAACTCATATTTCACTATTGTTATTCTACAATAAACCAGTTAAAGTCAAGTGAGACTCAAACCTGTGTCTGTCGCAGCCTCGCACACAGAGAGTGTGTGTTTGACCCGACTCTCACCGGTGCAGTGCTGAGATCTGAACACAGGACATCATGATTCAAACACAACTCTTCATCTCCTGATTCACTGACCAGGTTTTGGAGCTTTTATTGTTTTCTGGAGTAAATGATGAAACATAAGCAGAGCTGGGGTTAGGGCCGAGGATGTGCGGGTGTTGTGTTATTCTCATTTATACTGAAGACTGACTAAAGGTGAAAAGTGAGATGTTTCAGGACTGATTCAATCACGACACACACAGGTCACATGATTCCATTTATTCTGCACACACACTTTATATTCACAGACTTGAACGTGCGGCGTATAAATGATATTTCTGAGGGTTTGATGGCATCATCATCATCATCATCATCACTAGAACGAGACTGCAGGAGGGTTTGGCCCGATGTCCTTGTGAAACTCAAATAATTAATCTGACACATCCATTACATTTATAAAGCTTCTCTTTTGGCAGTACGATTCAATTCAGTACAAAACAATATTATCTTGCATAATAATGATGATAATAAAAAATTCTACAAGCTTGACCCATAATTCTCCCCGTACATTCACAAGCGGCGGATAATAATGTGACGGAAGTTCAAGTAGTGAATAATAGATCAAATCAATATTTGCTGGGAATATTGATGTCCTGATTCATGACGTTACAGTATAAATATGATCATAAGTATATCTGAGTGTTTTCCGGGATGAAGGCAGAACCGGATGGCACTAAACTACACACTCCTGCGGTGTGGCGGGAGCTACGGGGATCAGCGCTCTCGCTTCTCACGCGTGTTCGTCCGCGTCCGAGCCCGCGCCGTTATCGGACGGGTCCAAGAGTTCTTGGCGGCGGCGCATTATGGCAGCGAACTGAGCGCGCTCCGTGGCGTCCTGTAAAAGGTCAGAGGTCAAAGGTCAGAGGTTGTTGCCCTCATCGAAGGACTCCACGCCAGAATCACTCGCTGCCAGCTTCTCCTGCCGCCTCCTCATGATCTCCTGCAACTCCGAGCCCGAGCTCCTCTACACACACACACACGGAGAGAGAGAGAGAGAGAGAGAGACAGCAGTCAGACTCACACACGTCACAACACACACTCATTTAAACAAGATCATACCTCCAAACACCTGCAGCATGATGGAGAGAGAGAGAGAGAGAGAGAGGAAGGGCAGAAATGAGTGAGTGATGATGAAGGTTCAGCATTAAACTAAGGGATTCTGGGAAAAGGGTTTGATCCTGAAACTACGACAGAATCTAAATATTTAAATCTCGGACACACTTTACAGTGAGGTTCACGAGTTAACTTCAGTCTCCACTCCTGAAGCGGACCGGAAGAGTTCATCAGAGTCTGTCCCGACACCAGAACATGGAGAACTTTGAGGATCCTCTTCAGATGTGAACTAATAACTGCACTGCATTTATTCATCCTTCTTTAAGTATTTATTCATTTCAACATATACTAATATTTTATTCAAATCTAACACTGAACAAACGATGAACATCTGTGTTTTTATTAACTAACATTAACAAAGATTCATAAATATTGTACATAAATGTATCGCTCATGCATAGTTCATGTTACATTGATAAATGAACCTGATTGTAAAGTGAAAGCTAAATCTCATTTACAAGAAAACAAAACGTGCTGTTGAAGGGAAACACACACAGTATAACGGCTGAAAGTTAAACTAGTCGAGGTGTATTTTGCACCGTTAAACTCTAGCTCTATGGATAAACTAATAATTATTGATGGAGAAATGACTGGAATAGCAGCAGACGGACTGGGTTACAGAAGTAAACTCACGGTTTTCCAACAGACTTAAAGAAAAATAGACAATATTGAGTTGAACACATGACTGGATGAGAATAAAGAGCCGCTTTACAGCGGAAACTCAGTTATGAACTGATCAACACTCAGTTTCAAATGCAACATGTATTGTATAAAGTGCAATAGAAAGAAATCATTTATTTATTTCTTCTATAGTTTCAAATACAGTTTCAGAAGGTTAGTTGCATACCCATATAAAGGATTGTTAAGTATCAATGCGAACAGAATTTTCAACTTCACTTGAATGGAACGAAACTGTAAAGATCAGGAGAGATCAGCTCACATGCGGAGCACGGCTTTCATTTTCTCACAGTTTTAGAGCAAAACGGGATTTTGAACATATATAATTCAAATAAAAATTGAAATAGTATTTTACATGCATTTTTCATAATAATACACATAAAATTCTGTTACTTTTTAAGTTCACTTTTTAAAACGTTTCTCACTTCTGCAATAATCTTCAAGTGTCGTGTTTTGAGTAGAGATCTTCAGTCTGTCCTCTAAAGCGTTCCAAATTCACCAGATTCAGTCGTAATGCTCAAAACGTGAATAAATGGATTATAAATACAGCGTAAATATAATTTAGAATAATAAAATCTCCTAAAAATATTAAATAAAAAACATCATCAAACTAAAATATTGAACATTTATTTCATTGACAAACATTAAAATAAAAAATTCTGTCATTTCTGTCCGACACGCGCAGAGCCCGAGACCTGCAAGTGTTCTTACTTAGTTAGGAAGTGTTATTTCTGAATGTGTGTTTAAAGTGTTTGTTCTCGGTTCTGTGAACGTTACGGGAACAGGGACACTGTATCATTCTTCACACATTATGTGAATGTTACATTTGAATCTGAACATTCTAAAAACAAATAGTAACATTTTAAAAAAAAACATTAGATGAACGTTCCAGGATGTATCAATAATGTTTCTGCGCTTCTAGCCTCACTACGATCAACTAAAGTACCTTCAGAGGAACGTGGAGCACGTGTGGAGATCATGGGAGGCTCAGAAGAAAACCTGCAGACAGTAAAAACACCACAGAAACCACAGCGACACTCGCCAGCGTTGAGCAAAAACCAGTTCAACTAACCAGCGGATCAATCGGGAGACTCGACTGGGAACACTATCACTCTGCTATTCTGAGGGAGGGTGTGAT